CGTTGACACTTACGTACGTTCAGAACATTTCCATAAACTGCTTTGATATTCTTTTTGGCTACAGAGGCATTGTTTCCCCTCTTGTTTCAAATAGCATTACATGCCGAATGTGTATCTCGCTGTGTGCTGTTACTATAAGGGATTAGAGTATACTAAATTTACAAATTATATAAGCTACACTAATGTAACGTTTAGTAAGTTCATTTAACAATTATCCATGATGTAAGTCTTTTTTTAGGGGGGGGGGTTAATAAAAGTTTTCTAAAATGTGACATTAATTTCTTGACAACCTAATACATCTTGAGAGAAAATCCTTCTACTGTGATGGCATAAATGTTATTAGCAAGCATGAAACTATTGTGTTGTGTTTTCTTGATAGATTTTCCTAAATGTCTAATTCTTTATTTATCAAATAAATGAAATTAGAACTAAGTTTCTTATTTATGGGATTTATTTAAGGCTTGTACTATACAACAAATGAAGCATAGTAATATGGTACATATCAGACAATGTGATCTTGTTGGTGATGTATTTGTAAAGTTGGACTTGTCTTGAATTGTATTTTTTTAAAGAAAGTTAATTTTGGAATAAAAAGGAAATAATAGTAATGATAAAAAAAGAAAAAGATCACTTGTTCACTGAAATTAGTTCCGATTCTTAGTTTTGTGTATGGATAAACTCTTTATATAGCTTTGGCTTGAATTCAGGCAAATGCTCAACATAGTTAAAGTTTTAACCCACACAAACCACCATAAATTCAGTAAGAATTCAAATTACCACAAATTTAAATCTGGCATTATTGAATTTTTCAACTTATTTATGAAATGGACAAAAATGTAGTTTAAAAGAGAATTATTACATCATTTCTAAATGATTTCAGTTTTACAGAATAGATACTTAAGATATGTTATGTGTAAGAAACCAAGAAAGAACTTTCTCTCTCTCACACACACACACACACACACACACAGATATTACCAATTTGAGAGCCCCATAAAATTATAAACTATCAATGAGTGGATATTTAAGTTTTATATTTTTATGGAAAATGTATTTTTCATTCAGTCCTTTATTTGCAGATATCAATTTGAAAGTATTTTTGTTTTATAACATTACATGTACATACACACATTTAGGAATACTGTGAAACTCATATGTGTTACGACAGCAGAGGTCACGTGACGCTTGTATCACTCCACTTCCTTCTCGAACCTTCATGAAATGTCGGGAGACTAATAGCTTGGGGTAGTCTTGTATATATAAGACTGGCCAAGAAACAACGTAAGGTGATGAGTAATAGAACTGCGGACAGAGAAAGAATATTGTTGGGCACGTGAGACATTCGTTGTGAGTTATAGCGTGACTGTTGAAATTAAGTGTATCGCAAAGTTGTATTCAGAAAGAATAAACCCGTTTTATTTAAGAAAGGACTCGTATCGGTAAAGTTTCGTCGGTAAGAATATTTACGGAAAATTAACTAACGAACGGAGACGTAACATATGGTTTATGATGTTTCACTGATCCTGAACAGTGATTTGTAAGTAATTTTATGTTATATTCTGATTGTTTAGCTTATGAAATATTTAAAAGCTATAAAAACAATCTGCTAGTGGTTTTATGACTTTCACAACTGTGTGTGGATTATAATCTAGAACACTTATGCTTTCTTAAAGTGTAAAGAAATCAGGGAAAGGGTTGAGTCTTTAGTCTTAGTTATATAAAACTACACATATATACTGGATCAAGAACTACCCAAAGCATATCATTTCACCAAAAAATACAATAACCATTACAGATCCACTGTGAATAGCAGTGTTGAACCAATTTTTGTTTTATCACATTACATGTACAAATAAATATTTAGGAATATTGCAAAACTTAAATGGTTTATGATGTTTCACTGATCCTGAAACAGAAGAAAGTCGTTTTCAGCAACAGTTGAAACTGATGTTATTTTAAACAATATTCAATATGAACTAAATGATAGTAGTGTTTTGGACTTAAAAACATGCAAGCTTACACGAAAGATCCAAATGATGTAGAAAAGGAGATCCTCTTGTATACATTCGACATGGTAATGTTAGCAGCCGAATAGCTCTATCTGTCAAGTTGTTATCTGCTAAAACCAAGCGCTGTAGCCTGAAATAATAATTTACATTTTAATAAGTATTATCTGTGGTCATAAACACAAAAGTAATGTTAATGTTCAAAAGTTATTAAATAATTAGTATCAATCAAATAGTCTGACATTGAAGTTGTTTCTAAATTCCATTATCATAAAATAAAAATACTAGTACAATTTCTATATTCATAAAAGTATTAAATTATGTTATATAGTTTAGGATATGACCACTAGAGGTTACACAAATATGAATGCAAGTACCTCTAGATCATTGCATTAGTTATCTTTAACAAACACAAGTTTCTAGGCAAGATATTATTCTTGAATAAATGTAACCACAAATTGTTTTTCATACTGTATAATTTATGGTAGGCTTTTAAATTAGCACTAAAGCAATGACAGATGGACAGAAATTATAACAGATACCTCTTAAATATGTAATTCGATTGGCCTACATATGTAACATTATATGTATATGTAAGTATGCATATGTGACATTAAAAAAACGTTTTAATACAAATTAAGGCTAACAATGTCAGAGATAATATTGTGGAGTATGGACACTAGGTACATTCTAAAACTTGGAATACGTTTTATTAATGGGAAATTTGGTAAAATTTATGTAAGATCAGAATGACTAACATTTTTCTTACCTGAAAATGTTCTTCCAATAAATACTCTTCAGACAATTAAGATATCTTTCCCATGCATCTGTCTTAGAGATCTGCATGCCACTACCCTTTAAGTAACTCCCACCTAATCTCATAAGATTTCTTTTGAATTGCACTACTGCATAATGATGGTATTATGCAGCAAAAGCTCTCCACCAATAGGAGGGAGACACACCTCCTTGTGCACTAACTTCCTCTATACTTTTGTACTCGTGAATCTTCATTCTTTGAAGAGGCAACAATTAACAAGGTGAACCAGAAGTGGAGAGGAAGAGTGTAAAGAGGTATCTATCGGAAATACATTTTCAGGCAAGGAAAATATTAACTTTCAAGATGATGCCCACCTCTACACACAAATAAACTATAATCTCATGTCAAAATGGTTGAGAAGCTGGTGCAAAGATTTATCTAGATGAGCTTCCTTCAAAAAGCACATGAAGGAAACCCATGGAATGTGGCAGGGGGTCCATAGGGATACATCCATGGGAGACAGCAACTCATCTCTTACAGGATATACTCTTTGCTTAAGAAAAAAGGAGGAAAAGGGAAACAAGCCTAATGTCACTGAGTGGAATAATAATATGGCTATATGAGTACTTGCACACAAGATGTCAAAGAGCCAATATGTGTAGCATGGTTCAGGTGTGTTCACAGCATTCCATGTGCTCACCTCAACTCTATTATCAACCTATCAGACCAACATCTGCTGTGGGAGGAGGGCATAGAAATCATGCCATAGTGTGTGGAATGGTGTGTGTGTGCATGCCTCAACTGAACTGAACAGAAGATTACTACAAGAGGAGGGCATGTGTGAAAAGAATGTTCACCTCAACTTTACTGAATAGACACGACCACTGGAGGAGGGCACGGTATAGTGGTGTGTACTCATCTCAACTGTACTGGGCAGTTACAGGCTGTAGAAGGATGGCACATTTTTGTTAATGTGCTCACTTCAACTCTGTCGAAACAGACTCAGGGTGGAGGAAGAGGGCACAAGTGGAATGTTATGAGTATAGTTATATGTAGGGTGACCTATGCTACACTGACAGTGTCACCACCATTCCACTTCCCACTGATTGGCACTCCTTGTTCTAGCCCCAGCAGTTAGATTCCAATCGGTGAGGGTTCTCCATGGTCCACTACACCAGTGTGCCTAGGGACTGGTAATTGTGGTAAGCGGCAAGAGTCCCCCATGTTCCACTTGAAGAAAAAAGAAAGAAGGAATTTGAGGTAGGGAGACACAGAGAAAATGCTCAGATTCTCATCTGTCCTGTTTCAGCTGGCAAGGTCTTTTACTGGAAACAGTGCAATGGGAAACCACGTATCCCTATTTGGAAAATCCAGCAAATGCAAGCCAGGGAAGCAGGCAGAGCACCCCCTGGTGCTGGCTTTTTCCATAATAGTTCATGGAATAGGTACAGTCTGGATCAGACAGTAGTTAAATATATAATTATACCATAAGTGGTTTTGTGGAACACATTATCTCAACAGTGGGTATATATAGAGCCAGGATTTTTGGTATGAACTGTTTCTGTTATCCAGGCTCGACACAGAATTTTGGGAAATAACTATATCCTGGAAGACACCACCTGGCAGAATCCTATAAGCAAGTGCTATAGTAAGAAAAAGGAAACATACTCATCTCTCTAGAGATGGTGGGTAGACTGTAGGATAGTGAATGAAAGCAGGCAATAATCTTCATGAAATGAGACAACCACATGGTGAAGATAATGGGCAATGAAAATGTTAAAGGTAGTCCACATGCTAGAAGGATCCTGTCCAGCAGCCATCAAGAACAAGAGGTGAGGGAATGAGTAAGGTGACAAATCTGACAGGATGAAATGCTGAATCATCTGTGAGCATCGACTCCCAATGAAGAGTAGACCAAACATAGAAATTGATGGACCCTACCTATAAGAGTAGAATGAGATATGTTGCTGGAGGAAGAAGAAGAATCCTAAGGAATGTAGAGTTCAAGACAGGAGCCATAATAATAAAAGGTACAAGTTAAGTAGCAATAAATTATATGAACAGGGCACAAACGTCTGCCCAGGTTTGATTGATCATAGAATGGGAAAGGAAAAGGTCTAACTGATTGGAAAATCTGGTTCAACAGGTGATGGACTGGTCAAATCCTAAACATGAAGGTGGAGAGACAAGGTCCTATGATGGAACAGTAATGTGTGTGAGGTTGAAGCAGGAGAGATAGTATAGTTGGCAGGGGAAGAGGGGATTTGGTTGTTAGGTGGCATAGAAGAGGGAACTGAGGTTGAACCAGTCAGAGGGGTACCATCAAGAGGACATAACAAGAGTGTCTCAAATCATGGCCAGGACCCAAGACACAGAGGTGGGTAAGCATGATGAAAAGGATAAGACCAGTCCTGGCTGAAGGCATTAACAGCCATGGCTGAGTGATGGAGAACAGGTGATCCAAAAAGAGAAAACTTGGAAATGAGAGGGGTAGTAAGGCAATGATGAGTGGAGCCCCCAGATATAGCATTCCCAACAGAAACCTGGAGGTGAAGAGACCATTTCATGAGCCGAACGCAGTCCAGTCAAGATAGGCAGTTTAAATCCAGGTTCATAGCACCCAGTACATGACAGGCAATGACAACCGATAGAACATTGGCCCAATAAGGAAGGTTCAGGGTTTTGAAAGCATGAAGTCTTGGAGTAGCCCCCCCCCCCTTTGATACGGGAAAAACTAATCAGTTGTTGGAATGGATCTTAAG